TTTTCTTCCTCTGCACTACAGGTCTGTGTGAGGATGTGAGGACGCCTGTGATGAAGGCTAAGGTGAAGGGGCAGGTGCTTAGGTTGGTCTACGAGTAGTAATCAGTGGGCATCGCCAGTGTGGTAATGTTTGTAGACCAAAGAACAAAAAGGAGGCAGCGCAGTGACATAGCGTTTGCAAAACTGCAGGGACTGAAATGTGTTGTCTTCATGTTTATGTTATACAGACATACGGCATAATCGGAGTAGATGAATTATAAGTGCAAGTGCATTTCTTCACAAATGTAACAAAGTTAATGTTTATGTTTTTCAGGCTGGGTCGCCAACTTATAAATTTAATTACTGACCGGCTATGGAATTAATAGCCATAGCTTTCCAGTTTACTACAATGGGGCCTGGGTGTCCCCTGGTTAGGTTGAACTTTTTATACACAAGAGGGCTGACGGGGCTGCTCCATGTCTTTACCCGCATTATCACTCATATATGTTGCAGCATAAGGAGGCATCATTTATATAGTTATGCCCCCACTTTCCAGGGTAGGTGAGTGATAATTTCACTCACCTACCTGACCTGGAGGCAGGAGGAAGCATTTACTCTTCCTCCCTGGCTCGGTTCATACTTGGGCGATGTGACATTGCATGTGCATTGCACCGTGTTTTTACACGGGTTACTGTGCATTGCAGTAGGGCATCCTGTTAACCCCACCCAAAAATTCTTCCCTTTTTTAAAATCATGTTACGCTACAATTAGGGATGCACAGATACTTTTCGAGTACCAGTGCAGATACTTGGCATTTTCATGAGAACTACCAGGGTTGCAGCGGTTGCAGCTGGGACCTGGCTCTGGCACTCCACCATTGTCCTAAAATCATTAGTCTGTATTCTTTTAGAAAAACTGTCATATGACAATAAACAAAAATGTATCAGTTCTCGTACTTGTATGTACTCGGCAAGTACCAGTACTCGTACTCGCAAAACTGGAACTGTGCATCCCTTTATTTATAAAAACAAAATCGTACATTAAAACAGAGATGTACAAATCTCAGGAGCTCCGTGTGCTCCTTACAAATGACAGCTGCCTCCTAATTTTTGAATTTTTCTCTAGTGTAGTCTTGTAGCTCAAAAGTATCGGTAGATGTACTCGTACTTGTACCGAGTACTGTACTTGGTATCTTTGCAACCCTAGCTACAATGACAAATTGTGCTGTCGTGCAAGGCAGTGCAGTGGCTAGGTTTGTTGGGTTGCCATTAACAAATAATGGCACTGCAGTGCACCAAACATTGTCTCACGTGATCTCACACATCGCATAGATGTGAACGGGGCCTAAGTGATCACTTAGACTGTAACACAAGATGAGGGATAGATGTTGGTAAGTGATCTGTGGCAAACAATATGCAGAAGAACTGAGCAGGTCCCAGGATTTCATGATTGCGACATCTCTGAGAGAGTATCTCAGTCCAGAAAGTAGATGCTGACCATGGATGATGGCTGAACAAAAATGGTGCAGCCAAAAATGGTGGAGTGCAAAGCAGAGGTAATAAATGCCTGTGAATGTTATAACTAGTTAGCATGTGTATACTTGACAGGATAAAATACTTCTGATGCTAGGTTCACTTTAAATACTTAGTTGGGAAGAAGGGAGACTTTGTCAGAAAAACAGGTGCAGTAGTCTTTGGCAGTGAAAGCTGGGTCTGTAACACGTCTATTTGGAGATCTGTTTTTGATTGTGAATATTTTTCCCTGATTCTCTGGTTTTCAGTACTGTCCAGCTATTCCATTATTTTCTATTTTGCTGCTAGCTATATTCATTTTTTTTATCGGTCGCTGCTTGTTTGACCTTCTAAGTTAATATTTACAGAAAAGCAGTATTTAAAATACCAAAAAAGAAAACAATATCCTCTTTCCGACAAAAACAAATGAAACAATTAAAATACTTTCTCCAAAATATCCCTACTTTACCATGCCCAGTATAATAATGTATACGAGTCTCTCCATCCACTGGAGCAAAGTAATGTGTTCCCCCTTGGACCCCGGTGAAGATTGCTGAAAAATAGAATGCACCTGTCGTAAGAGCACCTACCTATGGAGAGTGATACGTGCAAGAGCCCTGGCTATAATGGCAAGTTTGTGAACTTAATCTGCTAATCATGAAAATGTATGGCACTGTATCTAAAGAGTTCCAGTAAACATTCTTGAGCATTCAGATGTGTGTCTCCCCACTCTAGTGACACTATCTAAAGCTGTTGTGGTAAGAAGTGGACCATGTTGTGGCTGTAGGACATGAATGTGTGGGTGATATGTGCATTATGTGGTCACCCTGAAAGAGGGTAGTACATCTACTTGTCCCTAAATCCTGTGGAGGAGTCTAAATGGACTGGACTTTGGAGTGGGTGTGTGAGACCTCCTCAGATGAACCTACAGACAAATATTTTAAATCACAGAAAGACATTTTAGAAGGTTACAGTCTATGAAGCCCCCTACTCTGTAGGTTCCCTGTAGGTTTACATTTTGTGCTCTAGCTGAGCATGTATAGCCCTGGAGGATCCTGGTCATGGCTCAGAGTATATGTTTGAGATGTTTCCTCCCACTACTTAAGAAATACTTTTTTATGGAAAGGCCAAAGTCTCTGGTCCCTTACCTGCTGCAATTAAGCAACAACCATTACATGCCACTGTTTACCCATAACCTCTTCCATCAGGCTAACTAGCCAGGTGTACCTACATGAAAATTTTGCTATGAGACTTTGTGATTTCAAGTTACCCTCTTAAGTTAGATTTGTTACTAAATAAAGTAATACGTTAATAACACTTGTGTTAAAAGTGCATTTCGTTTTTTGAATGTTGTCCTTTAAAGTTCTATTTAGAAATAAATACATTTAGCATTCCACAGGCACTTACATACTGCGTCGACTGTACACCCTGCATGGTGTCCATGGCCGCCACTGCCACTGAATGGATGTTGGAGCAGGAACCCCAAATACTGTGCAGGTCAAGACATGACGGCTACCTTGAGCATAGATATTTGGAGATGACGTCTCTTTCTCGTGGATCTGTGGGGGAACTATAATAGATATTATTTGTTAATAAAAAACATAAGTATGTAACTAAAAAGTAATTTTTCTCTAATTACAGCCAGTTATTAATTAAAGTAGTATTAAGGTCTGGGCGTTTTTTACCTAATGCATTCTCTGCATTCGGGTAAAAACTGCCCAGAACCTTTTTCTCCCCCAGACACCCCCCACACTTACCTGTCAGCAATGCTCATCCCTGCCGCCGGTCCCGAAGTGATCCTCCATTACCTGTACTTCCTGGTTGCAGGGGGAGGCGCATTCTGCCATCAATCAAAGTGTTGGTCAAAGAGAAGGGGCATGGCCTGCCACAGGGCTGTGTCAATGGACGCACACAGCCACTGCGGGCATGAGCGGGCACGGGTGCCTCCGTTAGCTGATGGAGGCACTTGTGCAAAGGGACGGGGGGAAGAGCGCTGCGGGGACCCACTTGAAAACGAGGAATTTAAAACTTTTAAAGAAAAAGAACAACATCCTCAGGCAAAGGTGGGCATCCTTATAGAAAATATATATATAAATATATATCTATATATATATATATAAAGAATGGTTTGAAATCGCTTTAAGGTAACTGCATGATGTGTCTATTCATGACCATATCACGGAAGAAACCTTTTTTGGTAAGGGCTGCATGTGTGGCAGTTTAACTGAGGAAAATGCATTCAGTATTTAGTACAGAGTAACAGCTCTGGAGATAACAAGTATGATCTGCCATTGAACTGTCAGTGGTAACCAAGGAACATTGTGGATGTAGCTGTGCTTAAGATAAATCTGCGTTTTATATACCACATTGTAGACATAGTCAATAGGCTTGTATGACTGTATAAAAGGGGCTCAGAACCAGAGGAAGCTTTGGCCTGCCCTAAACATTCCCCCTACATTCATTGCAACTCAAAAGTTGGGGAACTCTTGATATTTCAACTCTTGAGATTGGTAACTCTGTCCAGTCAGCCTCATGATCTAGGCACATCTTCTGCACTGAAAAGCTACACCACTATTTCCTGTTTAAACTTTGCAGCTTAGTATGTCACCTGCCAGCTCTTTTTAGGATTAGTTAGCATCATTACACTGCAGATTCATATTTAGCTGTTTCCTTGCAGTTCCACTTTAATGGGAAATGCAAAACACATGCGAGGATTAAAATGAACAAGCCATGTCCTCTGAGTGACTTTCAATACAAAAATTTTCATGTTTGACTGGAGCATTTCTATAATAAATAATTACTGCAATCGGAGTATAAGCCATAGCACAGTCACATACTGGTGAACACGCTTCACAATGACTCAATTTCTGCATTTTGGAATACACCATTAGCACTTTATAACATGTTTCCATGTCAGGATAAATTTACAATGATATTGGTTTTTTTTCAAAGCTGACAATTACAATAGGCTTTTTATTATGATGTGCAGTCAAGCAAAAAGAAAAGGTATAATGTCTAACATCAGATGTCCCTTAGTGGATACGATCAGAAACACGTGTGTGACAAGAGATGACAGAGGTAGGGGGTGATAGAGAACACATGCATTACACAGATTCACTGGGGAATTGTTAGACGAAAAACATGCCATTTCCTAGAAGACTTCACTTTGTATCTGAAAGTCAGGAAAAAAATATTGTCTACCGAATACACGTGTGTAAAGTTTAGAATTTAAAGTATAAGTGAACCCAAACTGAATGTCATTGGCTATTCACAAAAGGGTGAAGAGTTTGGAGAAGGCAGGAGAAGTGAACAATCTAAGCCAAAATAGCTGAACTGAAAAGTGATCTAAATTGGAGAATGTTTCCAAATCAGCTATTTTGTCCTAGATTGTTCACTTCTCCTGCCTTCTCTAAACTCTTCACCCTTTTGCGAATAACCCTGCTAATTTGCTAAAGCATTGTGTATCATAATTGGCAATTTAAAATAAAATATTTGTTTTCTTTTTCTTCCGTTGCATTTCGTTGATTCTGATCTTCTGCAGTCTCCTTGCAACCACTTACTCTCTACATTTACTCCATCAATGGCATTTTTTTCGCATTTGTTTCCTAATGGTAACAAAAGTCGGCCATGCCTGTGTAATGCGTTAGAACGGCCACATGTAGTCTCCATTAGAATCCTATGTGACCAGGTGACAGCACAGGAGCACAACTGGGTGACCGTGACAGAGCACTGTCACCCTATAACTAGAAGAGTCTAAACAAGAACCTTTATGGTAGCATTGACAGGTATGATATTATTAAAGATGCAGAATTAAAATTATTAAAAGTTACTTTTTAAATATAATAATAATAATACTAATATAGATTACATAATATTTAATTATTATAAATAATGAAATAATTATATATAAAAATAATTTGTAATCATTCTAAATATTAGCATAATACTATATGATGTTAACAGAGCCATTTATCCTGCAAAACTGTGTACATTCATTCTGTTTGAAAGGATGCTAAAACAAATGTTATTAGCAATTTACCATATTTAATATCAGCAGAACACCAGATTATGGCCACTAGATAAGGCTGAGTAGCATACAAAATAATTATTTCATGTGATACTCTTTATTGGCTACCTTATAATATATTTAAAGTCAAGACTTTTTTTTTCCATCTTGAATAACTAAGGGAATGGTTAAAACCATGTGTGTCCCACTCGAGATATGTACATTTTGTAGCCCGAATGCCTAAGCGCTACAACACCCAACAAAAGGATATCCATTGTTGTCAATGCTTCCTGTTCACATCGGAGTGTTCTGACGCTTATAGCATAACACCTGTAGCTTGAAAAAGTACATGGGGTTCTTTTCAGGCAGAATCAAGCATTTTGGCCCCATAGACTTTAATGGTAGTGCCTATAAAATGCTTGAAAGGTGTGTATTTTCATGTATTTTTTAGCCGTTCCCAGTTAAAAGTCTCTGGTTCCAAAAACACTTACAGGGTTATTCACAAAGCTGCCGAAGGCAGCCGAGTGAGTAATCCAGCCGAAGTGAAGTGAGCCGAACGACGTTTGGCTATTCACTCCGGGTCAGTACAGCTGTTTTCAGCCATACATCGGCTACCTTCGGTCATTCGAACCTGCTCTGCATCTGGATCGGTTGAACTGAAGCTCCGGCAGCTCACTTGCTGCTGTTCGCCCCTATTCTCATAGTGGCCGAACGGCAGTGAGTGAATAGCCGAATGCCGCTGAGCAGCACTTTGCTCGGCTAATCTGCTTGATACCTCCGTGGTACCGAGTAGAATAGAAAATCAGTGAAAAAAGTATTAAAAGGTGGAAAAAATATTTTAAAAAAGTAAACAAATAGTAAAATTAAAAAAGAAATAAAGATATTTCGTGATTTTAGAAAGTCGAAAGAAAGTCGTGATTTTACAGCCAAACAGGACAAATAGAACAGAGACAGCAATAAAAAAACGACTGTGGTTCTAACCCTTCACCGCTCCATCCAAATCTAAAAAGAAAAACTTTGTCTTTGGGTACACCTTATATTATACACTTATGAAGGACCTTCCTCCTACACTCCACCTTTAAATGTCAAAAATCTAACTTAACTCCAAATACTGCTTGCTATTTGGACTAATAAGGATCATAGCCCACTGCTAATGACCACCCTAAAATCCCTCCCTCCCATGACCTTAGCTAAGCCCCTTCCACCCCATCAGTTTAGAGAGAAAGCACCTCCAATGGAAGACTATTTGATCTCTCAGCTGACAAATCATCAATATAAAAACAAGTTTTAGGTAGCAACACTAGGAGAACAGCCACAGCATCCCATGTTGCTAAGAGCCCTTAGCAATCTGTGATGCTCTGTCTGGCTTTCGGCCTTCCTTGCTGATGTAACCGGTTGCCAAGAGCTGAGCAGGACACTCAGGCTTGTGTTCCACCCGGCTCCTGTCAACCGCTCTGGCGTCATCCGATGCCCCCACAACACCTACCTATGCCCCCCCACACGACATGTGCTCCTTGTCAGCACCCCATCCCCCCCACTTCCAGGAATGACATCAGGCGGCAAAACCCATAGGGACAGCCCTGTCAAAAGACATGCTGGTAGATTAATTGGCTCCTGTCTAAATTAGCCCTAAAGTGTATGTATGTGGGATAGAGATATGTGAACCTTAGATTGTAAGCTCCTTGATGGCATGGGCTGATGTGAATGTACAGTATGGAAAACAATGTGTAAATTGTTGGCGCTACATAAATACCTGTGATAAGTAACTGTTATCCAAAGCAACCAGCAGCAGCAATCATAACTAAAGTAGAAGTGCCACAAGCAAGATTTTTGTTAAACGAACCTAACTAAAACAATAGATGTAAACTATGGCTTATTTGCTGGGTTAGCAATGTGGGTTCCTATTCACTTCTACAGCCAGATTACTGGACAATGAATCCATATCATCACTTCTCCTCAGTTAATGGGGAGGAGAACTAGCAAGCAATAAAACTGAATCAGGAAATAACAGCATGACTGTCCTGTGTTCCATGTAAACAACTTGGCAAAGGTGTGTGTATCCTAAAAAATGGACCTCAGGTGTGGCCCCTTTCCACCCTCTGGCTTTTGGCTGGACAGCGTAGTCCAGCCAAAGCCACACTCCATACAAATAAATGAGAGAACTGAGTTGGTCTCTCTTATTTATCTCCCTTAAGCATGCAGTCATGCTAGATAGTTGCTTTCAACCTCTGCTGCTTTATATACCAAATCTGTTGTAGTCTCAGGCCCCGTTCACATTGAGCGATTTTTGCAGCGATATCGCTCATATTTCCGCGCTATATCGCTCTATGTAGCTTCACCAATACATTTCAATGTAGCTGTTCACATCTTGTCGCTCAATGTCGCTCTATATCGCTCAATATCGCTTGTAGCTCGTCGCTGGTAGCTTGTCGCTTCTACATGACCCTTTTTTAGAGCGATTTTGAGCGATATTGCTCCTGATTGCATACAGCCCAATAGGAAGAAGTCGCGCGATGTCGCGCGACACGTCGCTCAACGTCGCTCAATGTCGCTCAAAGTAGCGCGATTTCCATGTCGCTCAGTGTGAATGGGGTCTTAGAGCGATTTTGAGCGATATTGCTCCTGATTGCATGCAGCCCAATAGGAAGAAGTCGCGCGATGTCGCGCGACACGTCGCTCAATGTCGCTCGTCGCTCAATGTCTTTTTTAGACCCCATTCACACTGAGCGACATGGAAATCGCGCGACTTTGAGCTACAGCTCGCGGTATATTGAGACGCCGCACCTGGAGCAGATCCCGACTCAGGCCCCGTTCACATTGTGCGATTTATCGCGCGATTTTTGCAGCGATATCGCTTATATTTAAATGGGGTCTAATGGAGGTTCTGTACTCATTTTATGGGCAGTTTTAAAACTTTCCATCAGATTTTAACCACAGCCATGAATAGATTTATTTTCAATTATCAAGTGATGCAAATATCAGCAAATTGTAGAAATGTCACCAGCACACCAATCCTTTTAGAATAGCAAAAGCTATATTTATTGAAGTTCCTTGTCACATGAAGGCCACACAGGGTCCCTCCAACAGGCTTTAGCATTGACGACAGACAGACAAAAATAAAAAACGCACAAGATGCCAACTCTTCCCCCTCAGGGCCATCGATATTATGAGGAAGCCCCATCTCTTTGGGTCTTGTGGCGGGGTGGCATTTGTAGTGTGCCTGCTACCCCCTTTCCGGCCAGAACATCCCAGGTTGCCCAGCTCTTAACCAGTGCCCCGCTCAGCTCCTGGCAACCTGTGACATCTCTGGTTGCCAGAAGCTGAGTGGGACACACCCAAAAAGGCCTTTCCTCTCCTTCCCCGGTTTGTGTGCACCACTGGCATTCACCCCTGCCGCCTTAGGCGGTGAAGGAGCTAGGGATGCAGCTGTACCCACTATCCAAAACAAAAAAAATAGAATTGGCTGGTGTTAGGCTTCAATTTCATGAAATTATGTTTCAGCTGTCCTAGTGTTACTACCTAAAACATGTTTTTATATTGGTGATTTGTCAGCTGAAGGTTCAAGTAGTCTTGCATTGGAAGTGCTTTCTCTGTAAACTGATGGGGAATAAGGGCTTAGGTAAGGTCATGGGAGGGAAGGATTTTAGGGTGATCATCAGCAGTTAGTCCAAATAGCAAGCAGTAGATGGAGTCAGCAGAACTACATGTTGTCACCCTCATTATGCTGGGCAGCCATATCGCACTGCAGCTGCAGAGATGATCTTAAGAGAATGTGCATACGTTTACAAATGCTCTGCCAGTTAAAACAAATGCTGATTATCTTTCAAACTTTTTTTTTTAATGTTTCACTGGTGCTCTCCTTAAAGGTTCAGTGGGACTGATCTATTCATATTCAATGCTTTTTCCCCCCAAATATCTTGAAGAACACCAGCAAGGACTGAGCCTCAGCCTCCACCCAACCAGAACATCTATAAGGTGTCTGTATGATTCTGCTTGAGACTCTGGGTGACCCCATTAATAAAGCCCTGTGCTTGGGGACCCTGAGATTGCACTAAACCCCTTAGCACTCAAGGTCAAACACTGAGATTCTCCAGTTGTGGACAATGGTCTTAACATCTGCATATAATCACATTCTAAGTTTGTATAAGGAAGAGTTTGAAGCTGAGACCTTGAAGAATGATGGTAATTTTGGAGCATTACCAAAAAGCTACTTCACCCATAAAATTTGTTCACTAACAAATGCAATATTTGTTTTGATATCACATGAAAATCTTATTAGCTAGTTCATATACTTTAAGCTGTGTTATTTTGACTTCACTGGTAAACACAGGTTGCCATGGAATCTGGAAGTAAGACTGCACCTTTTGAATACATTTTATGTTGTAAATTAGAAAGTAAAATAATACGTTTTATTTATCTTGATCACATTTTCTTGTGCAGCCTTTTAAATTGTTATTCGTTTATGCCCAATAAGCAGTGATACTATTTCTGTTTACTGTGACGTAGAAACACAGAACTGTGACCATAGAATGCTGTCCATCTTTCAGTATATAGGCATCCTGTGGACACAGCAGTTACAGATCCCATATGGCAACAGTCTACAAACACTAACAATGCTCACAAGGTAAAACATATAAACTAATGTAACAACAGGACCACTGATATGAGGCCTGTGGTTGGTTGGCATTCAATTATGGCCCACATGTTGTCATTATCCCTTTATTGTAACAAAGGAATTGCTATACTGTGACTGATAGCTGAAACAGGCTTTAGTGTTCACAAATGATGTTATGGTGTGTGTGGGTGTTTGTGTTCAGCAGGTGTTATTATTGAGGGGATGTTGTGCAGCTGTGGTACACATTTTGCATGGCGGCCCAGAAGAGATTAGATAAGTCCTTGAATGGATTCCTGCTAAAACATATGAGAGCTAGAAGAATTTACAAAGTTGAACATTTATTGCCAACCTTAAAAAAGTTAAACTTTGCTTAAAACCGTTCATAGGCTTTAAGATGTTTTCTCTGTTTGACCCTATGCTTACCATTCACCAACAGTCGTAAAGTGACCTGCTCCATCAATCCAGCCTGCTCATTCTTCAGCACCAAAGTATATCTCCCAGCATCCTGTTCTACCACTTCCCTGATCTGCAAGAAGTGAAGAGACTGACCGTACTTTCCATAAGTGCTGCTAAATGTTATCGGCTTCCCATCTTTAAACCTGTGAAAGGAAATGGAGGTACAATTCTTACTATGCTCAGCATATTTCACAAGGGTTTCCAATTTGGCTTTTTTTCAATTTCCATTCCCTTCACAGTTGACTGCTAGCCTACCTAAGCCAAGATGGAAATATGCAATATAGGAGTGACATTAGTTTAACTCCCTGTTTCAAGGAATAGGCAACCATTAAATGCTATGGATATTTTTTTCAATATGATGGTACATGCAACTGGGCATAAGCCTGTGAGAGGTTTAGCCTAGTAAAAACTAATATTTCAGAATTTTGTAAATGTTAGAGATCTAAAATCACCACCGGGCTTAAAGTGACACTAAACTCAGGAGTTAAACCTTAAAAATCCATTCAAGTACCTCAACTATAAACAAAAATGTACCTTATTTGTGTATCACTCGACTATAGATCGGATCCTCAAATCATTTCTGAATTCATGCTGACACTGCCCTTCCATCTACTTTTTCTTCTCCATGGTCCCTGTGTGTGTGTTATAAAGTAGCCACAGCGCCAAGCTCACTCCAGTGAAGAGCTATAATCTCACACTAAATCATATTGAACTTGTAGACTATCACGGGAGTGAGCTTGGAGTGGTGGATTCTTTACAACACACACAGGGACCATGGGGAACAAAAGTAGCCACCCTCCAGAAGGAAGGACAGTGTCAGCATGAATTCAGAGATGATCTGAGGACCTACAGATACACAAATAAGCTAAATTTTTGTTAGTAGTTGAGGTACTTGAATGCATTTTTAAGGTGTAACTCCTGAAATTAGTGTCACTTTAATTTATGTCTTGGAGTTGTTGTGCCAAGATCTCATTGAGTTACTTTCAAACTGTCTTGGAACCAGGCTAGGTAATTTGTAACATAAAATAAATGAGAAGCCCACCAGTGTAGGTGAGACAAAGTTACTGCAACATCTGTGCTGACATGGAAACTTAGAAACTTAGAAATGCAGATCTCTCCAATGTGATCCCCAAGATACTACAAGGAGCTGATGGGTGCAAGCAATCAAAACGCAAACAACTACCAAACCCCCAAATTGTAGTTGTAGGTACATAAAAACTCCATTCTCCTGTCAGGTATAAATAGCTGCTACCCATAACATTTTTAAATGTAATGTTATTAAAAAAAACATTTCACCTATGTCCATGACAGCCTGTGCTCACAAGAAGCAGAAGCTTGGCATCCTTAAACCCGGCACTGGACTTCAGAGATAACTTTATATGGGAGCAGCCCTGGTGAACAAATGAACATTGCAGAGTAGAAATGTGCAATTCGTTTTGTTCTGAATTGAAATTTGTACGAATTTCTGTAAATGCGGACATTCGGATGCATCCGAATTTCCGAATGACAGAAATAACAAAACTGAACAAATTCGAATGTTTGATAATGAAATTCGGATACATCTGAATTTCATTGGGAAACTAAACACAACAGGTGGGAGGGCTGTCATTTACTGCTCTCTGACTTCTCTGCATTTGTATCTCAAATGAAAACAAAGTAACACAATATTGTTACAAAATGTAAATAATGATAGAAGCTGAGAGATCTGTGCTATTCTGCAACAGCTTCTGCTTCTTTGAGGACACTTCATCCCCAAGGTAAAGAATCTGACAGCTGTCACAGAATACACAAAAGTGTTTAACTGTTCACAGAAATAATAATAATAATAACAAAAAAAAAACAAAAACAGCGTGGGGTCAACCCCCAATTCATAATAGACCCTTTAGGTCCGGTAGGAATGTTAGGGGCGATCCCATGTACCCCCAACCCCCCCCAAAAAAACATGTGGTTCCCCGGCAATTAATGCCAAAAACAAAAAAACAAAAATTAGCACCCCCCAAAATCCCAATCCAGTCCCTTCATTTGGGCAGCAGCCAGGAGAGGGGGGGTAGGGATGAGCGAGCGCCCCCCCTCCACCATACAAGGCCACATGCTCTCGGCACCCCCTGAAAAAGCATGAGAGCTTTTAAAGAAGTGTTCATTCCTTGCATAAGAATACTACATTTTAGCCAATAAAAAATGGACATATTTTTGGTAAAGCAGTAAATAAAACAAATTTGACCATACCACTGAAACGTTGGAGTTGGATAGGCAGTGAGTTTCACTGGCAGTTTTGCCAACTTGTCCCCAGCTGTGGCTTCCATGACTGTGTCCTCCTTTGTCTCCACAGAGATAAAAGGATTTTCTATGTAGGAAAATAAAGCAAAAGAAAAGTGAGAAATGAAAGTATAACTTCCCTATAAACTCACCCCATATAATTAAATCTGAGCTAAAGACAAGCAGCTAAATTCGCAGTTAAAATACATATACTGAAAGTGGACTATATCCCCCTCTCCTCCTCCTTTTTGTTTAGGGTATCAGACTGGCAGAACTGTGCTAAGCAAGTTAATCCAGGTTCAGATTCTATCTGTAAAAATACATTTCAGGAAGTGTAAAGCTGTAGAAGTCTGGGAGGCAAATGTAATGTGCCATTTACACTTACCATTTCCTATCTCAACACTGTTCTGCTTTTTGTGAATTCAGACAGTTAGACCAATAAAAGGTCTATGGGGATCCCTTCAGTACCCAGAGTGGAGCCAGGGACCAGAAGGAGCAGGGAATATAATCAAGATATTAAAGTGGAAGAGTATAAGAAGAACCAAATTGAGATAAGTGTAACACTTCCACAGCTTTACACTTCTTGGAGGTCTTCTTTAATAATGTTTTAATGAATGCATAGATGGATCTTAAGCTGGCCATACACCTTACAATTATCTGCAGATTTTCTGTGGTCAGAAGTTAAAGATGCAACAGATTTCTCCATCTACACTTAACTGTGTGGATGGTGTAATCTCCACCCGGGCCAATCTGTTGCACTTTTTCCATCTGACCACAGAAAATCTGCAGATAATTGTAAGGTGTATGGGCACCTTAAGGGTGTGTGTTTTTCCCATTTGCCTGGAGTTTAGCTTTAAGAGAAAACAGAACATCAAAAGCTTGACACAACTAGTCACCTATCATATAGTAATAAACTATATTATTAAATATAATAGCACCATTATCTCCTCTGGCACTATATAAAGGAAGATATACTTATAACGGTGGATTATAAAGATAATACAACTACATAAAATACTTGCAGCAACAATCATACATGGTTGAATAACAAAACATAATATAACAAGATGCAAGAATCTTGTCTATTCGAGTGTAGAATTTATAACACTGATGGTCAGCCAAAGTACAATATTATTGAAGAATAGTTAAGATATTATCATTGAATAATTCATGTTTTCTTCACAATTCATAGTGAAATGTACTTTAGCAGACCAAGGACATTGGGACAATAACCAGATCAACCACACACACACACACACGCTGCAGTCAGCATTCCAGACAGCCAAGTGTGTCCCACTGGCCATGGTACAGCGCCATGGGTATTTATGATATCTAATTATCATGCTAATTTAACACATGTGCTAATCAAATACTAACTTAAGAAATGTCTGTAAAATAAACATATCTTAACCTAATGTATATTTGCTTGTCACCATCAATAACATACCAGAGGAACTTGTGGTGGACCCACAGCGGTTCATGCCTCAGTCTGGATGACTGTAAGTTGCGACCCCTACTGTCCAACACTAAGGAAGTTGATTATTACAAAATTCTACTACATATTTTAAAGGTTTGATCAACTGATTGCTTTCCTGGGAAAATCTTTTAGGTAACCTGTTTGCCACCCTGATCTTCTGGGTTACTGACCTGGAACAAGTCCTTACCAAATAAAGTCAAAGCCAGAATGTCTGATCCAAACAGAAAATACTGGAGCCACTGCATCAGCCTGGTAGCCAGAGATACAGCAATTTGAGGGTTCGTTTTTCATCCATACCTCGCAGTAGTTAATTAATTGTTCATTAATTAAACTAACCTCATTCACTAAGCTAAGGGAAAACTTTCCCTGCAAAATGAGCAGCCTATTTGCCTTTGGTAAATGAATTATAATGTGTGCTTATTGTGCAGGCACATAACTCTGATAAAGGTAAATTAAAATGAGACTAATTGCTGTATGTCTCTTCTGCTGTAAAAGCATCTGCCTTAAGTACCAGCAATTTTTTTATGTGCAGCTCAGAGTACATCCTCAGCATGCATTTGATGCCAAGACAAAGTATGTGCATGATACATGATCCTGGCCCAACCAATCAATACATTCTGTGAGTGGACAATAGTTATGAGGGAGGGTGATGCGACTGGAGAGCTCTACTGGTCGAGTTGCATCTTTCTCTCTTCCCACTGGCGCAAGCTCGATGTCATGTGCAGGAGATGGCATGCTGCAAGGTAAGACTTTTATACTATGCCGCGGCCCTCTCCACATAACACCCAGATTTGTAATGATAATTTACACACCTGGTTTGGTGTGCAAATTATCATTTTGCCCATTACATATATCTATTTTTACATTTTTAATAAGTGTGTGATGAATCAGCTTTTCCGGGTGACTTACATCAGTGACTTATGAACTAACTTATCATTAATCATATGGGTTTACTTGCATATATGTGTCTTGGGATATATAAAATATCTGTATGTGCCATTCTGGATTGATCTCTTGGTACTTGTTTCTGTAGTAACTTAGCTATTATACCAATATATAACAACCCGCACTGTCCACTGTCCCATTCATTCTGTACCGTGCACAATGACCTCGTTGCTCTCCTGGTATTGCCACTTCTCACTTATTGCATGACACACATACTTCCCGAGGTCTGATTCAGTTACTGCAGGCAGGATAAGAGTGCTGTACATTTCTGTGTGGATGTTCTGGGGGCGACGATCAGACTGCTCTATCACTGGACGGTTGTTCTGCAAAGATTACAAGCGGTGTTATTTTTTTTTTTTGATTAAAGCATATTAAGATCATGTTTACTTTTTAAAGCAGACTTGGAGACTCAGCTTTATAGAAAACTATATAAAGAGGAGAGGTCGTCGACACCAACCAATCAAATTCCAGCTGTCCTGATTTTATAGAGATTCATATAGCTCAGCCCCTTAGAAGTACTTGGTGCATTCTTTTTTTTTAAATTACCACTGCATGGGTTTTATTCGATTACAAGATCTATAAATTCTTGCATATATTCAACACAGCCTGGTGTTTTCTTTAAAGTGTATCTAAACACAATAACAAAAATCTAATAAATTGCTATTTACTAATCCTAAATGTGGCAATGGCATTCCTTTTCTTTTTAGGCTTTTTTCACTTTATTTTCACCTACCAGTAACACACTTCCTGATCTAGGGTGACAACGCTCACTGACATCTAGGGTGACAACTCTCATGCTCACCAGACTGTGTCTATGAAGGAGCAATGATGTCACCCTAGGACAGGACACCCCAGGACACCTCTACTCTTCTCCAAAACATAGAGAGGAGGTATTTTGTTACCCAAGAGTGATTGAAGCACAGACAGAGAGCACAGGAAGTTATCAGCTCAGAAGATGTTTAAGCAACTTCCCTGTGATGAAAAACAAAGAGATTCGCTCAGTTGATTATAGTGGCCGTTCAGAAGATGTGTAGTATTTTTCTCAATGAATAATGGGTGCTCTGTGATTGGATGAAGGGCGGAGACATCAGGGATACCGCCCTTCGTCAAATCAGAGAACACCTGGTACAGTGTATTACAGTATCCCAGCCACCCTGCCAGGGATTATATATATATATATATATATA